GAGCTCTTTTATGCACATGATAATGAATTTTGAAGATTTGAGCCTAGATAATCTTGGGCTTATGGGTAGAGGTACATTGCATCCTTGAAGTACCCAGAGAAGCTTCTAGAAGCTTCCATCACCACTGGAGCTCCCTATAGTCATGGCATTGGCTCTTTGAGGGAGGCAAGATGTAACAGGACACCTCTGGCTTGCATCATGGATGGCTCTGCATCTTAATACCTGTGTGCCTCAGTCTGCTCTCGGATCCTGTCTCGCTATTCTTACTGTAAAAATATATGTCTGACAAAAATCAAGATTTTTTTTTCTGACAGTGTTAATGGAAAATGTCTGTGAAAGCAGTTTGCAAGTATAAGGTTGTGTCATTAGTAACATCATCCATTTTTAGAGCATACTGATAGGAGCCCATGATGTCAGAATTCAGGGAAGGCAAGATATTGGCCAACTTGCATTTGTATGATAATTGGTGCCCAGAGGGCAGCATGCATGCCAGGTGTTTTTAGCCAGAAGCAGTCGCAGGGACTTGGTCTTACTGTGATTCGAAAAGTTTTTGAATGAAAGAGCTAGACCTGTGGTTTTGTGAAAGTAACTAGAGATTTCAGTAGGGGATGGTAAGAGCAGTCATTTATTTTAGAAATACCCTTGGCTGTACTGTGGAGGGTAAATGGGAAGGGGAGAGGCTGAAGGTAAGGAGACATTATTATAATCCAGGCAGGACTCAGAGGAAGCATGGGTAAGAGGCGAACCTTGAAGCCAGACAGGTCAGATTCTAGTTCTGCTCTTTTATTTTGCTGTCTGGTTCTTGATGTATTTATCTGCGCCATGGACTCTGGTGCTGATGAAAAACTGCCATCTAGGTAAAGTTCTTCAAGCAGATTTGGCACATGGTGCACACTCACATCAAATGTATCATCTTAACTTTAGTATAGACAACTGGCGGCACTGATAGCATGCACTGCGCTGAGTAGTCATTGACAGTAGTTTCAAAACCATTTCATCACTCCCTAACAGAAGCCCTATAAACATTAAATAATAAGTCCCTTTTCCCTTCCCTCCAACTCCTAGGTAACCTCTAACATAGTTCCTGAATTTGCCTATTCTGAAGAACTCATATAAGTGGAATTATATATTTGTTCTTTTGTGTTTACCATATTTCACTTGGAATGGTTTCTAGGCTCATTTGTGTTGCAGCATGTATCAGAACTTTTATTCCTTTTTGAGGCTGAATAATATTCCATTATGCAGATGTACCACAGCCTATTTGTCTGTCCACGGACACTTGAGTTCTTTTCTTATTTTGGCTATTGTAAATAATTCTGCAATAAACAGTGGCATACACCTGTCTGTATCTCTGCTTTCAATTATTTAAGTATACCCCTAAGAGTAGAATTGTCGAGTCCTGTGGTAGTTCTATGCTTGACAACTTAGAGGAACTACTACAATGTTTTCCACAGAGGCTATGACATCTTTCATTATCTTCATTCATGTACAAGAGCTCCATTTCTTCAAATCCTTATCAATTTTTACTGCTTTCTCTCTCTTTTAAATATATAATATATTGTGCATCTTGTCATAAGGTTATTGGCCATTTGTAATTTTCCATTGGAGAAATGCCTATTCAAGTCTTTTGTTAGAGAGGGAAGGAAGGAGGGAAGGAGGGGGGAGGGAGGGGGGAGGGAGAGAGAGACAGAGACAGAGACAGACAGAGAGACAGAGAGAGACAGAGAAAGAGAGAGAGAGAATGAGAATAAAGCCAGACTGGGGTACTGGCTAAAGAGGGGATTAATGTTGACTTTTCCAGCCTGGGTAGGTAGGTAGATAATGAACTGTCAAACAGGACAGGCAGGCCTCTTGTCTGGTGATGTGGGTGGATGGAGGAAGGCATTGGGCTTAAGCAGGGCTCCACTAAGCCAGGGCATTGTCCAGGTGAGGAGCTTATTGAATTCACCGCCCTATCAGGTACCTGATTGGTTTTTCTGAAAAAAAAAACAAAAAAAAACAAAAACAAAAACAAAACAAAGCTGAGAGGTCTTTTACCTATTACTCCCTTCCTGCTTGCTAATCTAAGAAGTAACCTGAGAACTTCAGTGACCCTTGGGCTTCTCTATCTAGAAAATGTGAACAGTCATTAGGGGGAACAAAGAAATATGGGGTTTCTAAGCAAGCCCTCTCCTGCTGCTGCATCTCTGCCCCTCCTGATTCTGATCAGGTCAGTCATTCCCTGCGCATGTTAAGCCACCCTACAGGACCCAAGCATTGTTGAGAACTATTGCGTCCAACGCTTTGCCCAGTGATCGCTTTAGCCTCACTACCTTTGTCCGGCTTTTCACTTCTCCACAGCGACGTGCCATGCTGTGATCATGCTGTTCCCATGATCCACTGACTTTCTTGGAATCGCTCCATGCAAAAGTAGATGGCTGTTGTGTTAGCACATTATGCTGTGTTCTGATGGGGAAAGTTATGCTTTCCTTTTTCCCCACACTGTAACAGAAAGTGATGTTTGAGCAATTCACTGTTCCTCCGCCAAAGAAGCAACCATTGGAGAAATGAGTGCACTTGGTGGCTTGATTTCTTTTCTTCTAGAGCCATAGCCGGCTGGCAGCCATCATGTGGCTCAGGCAGACAGTGTTTACAGATTTGTCCCCTGATGCCATCTGCCTGTGAGGCTACAGGAAGCCCCAGCAACTGCTGTTGTAGCAGGTGCTGGGGCTGCTGATGTGGGTGTCCGTGAACACACACACACACACACACACACACACACACACAGAGCTTTGTGTGATGTGCAGAGGTACTACTGTTGGTGTGGGGCTGAGCTCTGTGCCTGTTAGGACTCTGGGTTGACAGCTGAAACTCAGCCCTGCAAAGCACCAGTCCCAGTTGCTGGTTTCCGGTGGGGCCCTGTTGAAGGAGGAACAGAGGGTGAGACTATTGTGCAGAAAGTTAGCAATTGGCTAAGGGGCAGAAGCAATGTTTTTACAAGCATTTGTTGTTTTCTTTCCACCTCAGCCTTCTGACTCATTCTGTAGAGGGTACCAATCTTCATTTTTTACTCCTGCTCTTTTTAAAGTGCACATCTCTTATCTGTGAGTCCTTCCTGCCACTCAGCCAGGCTTCAGGTCTAACTCCCCAAGCTTTTCTTTTGTTCCCAAGTTAGTGTAATCATGGGTTCAGACAAGCCTAGAAATGCTTCCCTTACTTTGGAAGAATTTCTGTGTATAGACCTCTACTGTGTGACTTAGTATCATTTTGGGCTTTTCGTGCTCTTGTGAAGAATTATCTAAGTTATTAAAACAATGTGGTTGAATATCCCTTATCCAAAGTGCTTGGGACCAGAACTATTTTGGATTTAGGAGGGGTTTTGTGTGTGTGTGTGTGTGTGTGGGGATCTTTATATTTACCTAATGAGATATCTTATAAGTAAGTCCTAAATCTAAACACAAAATTACTTTATGTTTCATATATACACATAAACTGCAGGTCATTTTATAGAGAATTTTTAGTTTCCCTCTGTTTTAATTACAACCTGTCACATGAAGTCACATGTGGAAATTTCCAGTTGTCCCATCATGTCAATGCTCAAAAAGTTTAGGATTTGGAGAGATTCATATTTTGTGTTAGGGACATTCAGCCTGTAACTCTTATCCTTTAACCCACCCCCCAGTCCTGCGATCCAGTTCTTCAAAATTACATTTTATGTATGTGTGTTTGTATGAATGTATGTATGTATGTATACATGCATGCATTTACTTAGTGCCACTCCATGTGTATGGAGAGCAGAGGACAACTTCTGGGAGTCTGTTCTCTCCTTCCACTGTATGGGTCCTGGGAATTGGACTCAGGTCATTAGACTTGATAGCAAGTTCCTTTATCTCCTGAGCCATCTTGCTGGCTGCTAAGATTCAGATATTCTTTGAGCTTTGGCAAGGGTTCACCTAGATGAAGGGCAGCGATTTTTTTTCTATAAAAGGACAGATGTTTCAGGCTTGGGCTCTGTTGCATCAACTCAACTCTGGTATTGGATCATCAAACCAGCCATAGAAAATACATGTGAATGTGTTTGTGTTCTAATGAAACTTTGTTTACAAAATAGAGTGATGGGCTGAAGTTTAATGACCTAGAATGACAGTCATTTTTTTTTTTTTGGTCTTTTTGAGACAGGGTCTCCCTGTAGCCCCAGCTGTCCTGGAACTCACTATGTAGACCAGGCTGGCCTTGAACTCACAGAGATCCACCTGCCTCTGCCTCCCGAGGGCTGGGATTAAAGGCGTGTGCCAGCATGCCCAGTGACAGTCATTATTTTTATCTGTCCTTTAGTTTTCCTTTTCTTCTTTTTTGTTAAGAGTTGAAAAGCTGCCTTTAATCCCAGCCCTTGGGAGGCAGAGGCAGGTGGATCTCTGTGAGATCAAGGCTAACCTGGTTCACATAGTGATTTCTAGGACTAGGGAAGACGTAGAGACTTGAACTAAGGAGACCCTGTCAAAAAACAAACAACAACAACAACAAAAGCTAAGAAAGAAAGAGTTGGAAGGCTAGAGGAGCTTGATGACTATACATGAATTTAAATCATCATTTGGGTTTAGCATGACTATGAACACAGTGGTGATCTGACAATGTAGTTTTGTTAGACCTTTGTTGAAAAGAAACCAAGGCTTTTGAAGATGGGAATCTGCTTGTCTGAATCTTGTCATTGTTCACAAAGTAAAAGAAGCCATCATTTAGAGCTGCAGGCTGCCTTTCACATATCAGGCATTCTCTTGATGTTTACATGGAATTGGCCGAGTCATATGAGGTCACCTTACTATACTGAATATTATTCCACATTGTAGGACTAGGTGTTTCTTTAATCAGTATAAGGAAGAAACTTTTAAAATTCAGGCAACAGCATTTGTCAAATGTTGTATTGTGCTTGCTTGACATTATATAATGTTCATTTCCAGAAAGAGAAAGAAGTGCTCTAAAATTTCAAGCTATAATCTTTTTCCCTTTTTTTGTCCTCACAGGAAATAAAGAAAGATGTGAAGAAAGACCCTCTCTCCAACAAAGCTCCAGAGAAGCCCATGCATGATGTGTCTGGCGGAAACTCTTTGCTGTCTTCGGAAACAATTTTAAGAACCAATAAGCGAGGTATGGCAAAGTGGGAAAAGCCTGTCTCCCTGCAAACAGATGAAGCTGGAAAACTTTGGGTGCACAATGTCAAATTTAGCATTGCTTAAGAATTGAGGAGTTTGCCATTTTATTTGCAGTATAAATTTTGCACACACACACACACACACACACACACACACACACACACCCCTACTATCTCTACAGTTCTATAGTCAGAAGAACTAATTTTTTCCATAAGCCGATAAAAATGTTAATGCTTTCCCTGGGGTTTTAGCTTCCACTTTTACATCTATTTTTATGAATGAAAGGTGAATCTAGAGAATTTGATAAGGTACAGCCTGAGCTGAGTGTGTCTGCCCATGCTCTTTTGAATTAAGGGTAACTATCAGCTTTTGTCTCTGTAACTGCCCAGCTCCCCAGCATAAACCCTGTCTCCCTGTGTTTATGAAGCAGAATGTTTGAAGATATGGCTAATACGTCATCTAAACCAGAAACCTTTAACAGTCAGTCTTGTCTTTCCTCTTTTAAGACCTTAAATGACTTTTAGGTACCAGCTTGTTGGAACTTTGTTTCCTTTCCCATCTGCCCCTGGTGATAATTGTTGTTTGAATGATGTGAGAGAGAATCTAAGATTGCAGAGAGGACCCTACTTAGTTCTGGACTGTGGGCACACTAGGCACAGTTAGCATTTCCTGACCTTAGGTCAGCTAGGGCCCACACTGAGTTGAGTATGCCCATAAGTAGGTCAGCCTTCAGCTGCCCACTTTTCCTGGGCTTATTACTTCCTTAAAGGGAAATTGAAAACTGTTCAAAAGCAGCAGGAGGAAATGTATTAGCAAAGGGTTCCTTTAACGAGAAAAAAAGAAGGCAAGTTTACATAACCATGGGGAAGAACAGCTAATCTTTCATAAAATTTAGACAGCATAAGAATTTGTCCAGTGAACTACCCATTGATGATAGCACTGGCAACATTGGCTTTGTGTCTCCCTTCCTTCCTGCCTCTTCCTCTGCCCCCTCCAGCTGCCCTGGGTTCCATTTCCTTTTTTGAATTATTCACATGAAATATTGGCTGGAGGCCCAAGCTGGTTAGCAACTATAGAATTTCTTTCCCCTTTTCTCCTCCTCCTCCTCCTCCTCCTCTTTTTCCTTCTTCCTCTTCTTCTCCTCCCCTTCCTCTGCCAGGACATCCCTTTCCTCTGTCCTTCGACACCAGAACTCCAGGTTCTCTGGCTCTTGGGCTCCGAGGATTTATACCAGTGGTCCCAGGGTCCTTGGCCTTCAGACTGGGAGTTACACCATTGACTCCCATGTCCTCCTCCAAATCCCATCATGCCAAAGTTGGGGATTTCCCATTTAAAAATTTTAGCTTATGTTGCTATAAAATTACAGTCTTCCTAAAGTGTCTCCTGCACATTCTTTTTGAGTTAAAAAAAAAAGTGAGGTAGTCTCACATAGTTCAGGCTGGCCTCAAATTCCCTATGTAGGTAGCCCAGGCTGGCCTTAAACTTCTGATTCTCTTTCCTCAACCTCCCAGGTAGTGGCATTACAGGTATGAGTGACCATGCCTGGCCAGAGCCACCATGCATGGCCCTAGACTCTTCAAATAAATTCCCACAGTCCAGAGTCCTGTGGACTCATTGGATTTGAGAGCTGGCGTCCACTGAGTGGTCTCCTTTTGTCTGCTCCGAGCTGTCCCCTTCATCTGGCTCTTCTCATACCACTAGGCCTAGCATTTGCACATACAGTGACCAGCAGTACAGCCTTCCTGGTCAGCTATGTTGTCATAAAGTCAATAAGAGACTTAAGGTAATTAATTTTATAAGAGAAGGAATTAATTAAGGCAAGGAATGCAGGTAATTATCTGGATGAGTTCAGTAAAATTACCTGAAAACTAAATCAATGAAAGAATAGATATTTTCAGATAATTGTTTCTTTCCAACTGAAAATCTCACTTTTGAGTTCCCCTCATGGAATTTCTTATCCACCAGAAAAATGAATTCAGAGAGTGTCCTACTTGACTGTCTCAAGCCTTCTACCTTAGGCATGCAGGAGGATTCAGGCCAGGTTTTCACTCTTAGGCCTTTTGTATGCTAAATATGCCAGTCATTATGAGACCTGAACATGCAAAGGCATCCTGTGACTATGAAACCCATGACATCCCATCTTTATTCTGTCCCAGGCTTCACACTGACCTTCTGGGTCACCTGGGCCAAACATCAATTTCCAGTTGAAGAGAAGCATTGTGCATCAAGATCAGTGCTGTTCTGGTCCTCCCCCATCCCATCAACTAACACTATTTTATTCCTCCTATAATAAACAGTGTGTGTGGTGTAGAGTGATTGGCCTTGTCAGGCCAGATAAATAGTTCATTGTACTGAGCTGAAAAGCTACATTTTTTTCCCATCCAAAATCAATGAAAAAACACCACCACCCCCTTAAAACAAAGACCAGAAGCTAAATCTTTAGAAGGTAATTCTAGTTCTAAGTTTTTGAGTTTTGGGAGTTAAATGATTGAAGCCCCCCAACCCCCCCCCCCAACCTTTTCCTTAGAGCCTTTAGGATGTTTTGGTCTGTCAGTGTCTTTATGGCTGTTAGGGAGGGAGGAAGTAGTTCTTAGGGTTTGTGAGCCTGTTTTGATCTGCTAATATGGGCTTTGAGTATATGAGCCTACCCTGTAATTTGGCCTCTTGACTCTGAGAATTTAATCGAAAACACAAATTCCCTTCAACTTTATCAAAGATGGGAGGATGCTTTTCTTTCTGTGAGCCTTGTCATTTGATACAGATTTGGAATTGGTTTAATAAAGAAAGAATGAATTCTATTTGGTCATGACTGAATTTGAACCACTTCACTAGGTCCTGAGCTCAGGACAGACTTAGTTGGAAAAGTTTGCCCAGTTGCATCCAGCTGTTACTGCATTTTATAACATGCCTCACTTTGAGGCAGTTGCAGACAGATAGGAATGAGCTCACCCTCCCCAGGCACCTGCATAAAGGCAGAAGACACCCAGAGTTTAAAGGAAACTCTTTATAGTCTTGAGAAAAGACCAGGAACACAGAAGTACTAGTGTATTAGGGACTAATTAGTTTCAATTGTAACATTTGAAAATTACTAAGTTTGATTTATGGAGGTATAGGAAATGGCTCCATAAGTTTGTTGTTTGAGAAGATAGAAGATAGAGCTGAAATTCAGAGGGAAGACTGGTCATGCTAACTGGCTTGGCAGCCATCAGTTGTCCAATTGGGCCATAGAACCTTGTTCAGGTATACCTGTTCCCACCACTGGTCACAGTGAAGGATCTTCCCATCTGAAACAAGCCTTTCCATAGAAATAAGAAGTTACCATTCATTTAAACTTGCAGCATGGTTGTTATATATCCTAGAGCTACCCCAGACTCCTAGTATGTTGATCAGTTGTAGCCAGAAAATGGACTAATTTTCCTTGGAGTCAGATGTCATTCTCGTGGCAGAAGTTAGTTGAAAGTGGCTTTTTATTTTGTGGGTTTTTTTTTTTTCTATCATTAAACCCACGTAAAAGAATGACGGTGCTCCTGAGTTGTAACACAGATGTGTAAAGGAAGTTTTTTAAAAAGTGTTCAAACCACAAGTTGCGAAGTAAAACTGAATAAGATGGAAGTCATAACAGTTGCTAGCAAACCCCCTAAATATGTTCTTGAGGATGTGCAGTTGGTTTTGTCCATTTCAGTATCCTTTTCTAGTTGAATTAAAAACAGTAATCATTTGGTTTCATCTGTAGAAAGATTTCCTTGACTAACTTTATTCAAGTGATGGCTTATGTACCCAGGTTGTAATCAGTACCCCACTGGCCTGGGTGAGGACTCAGTCTTATACCAGGCCTCTAACTTCCAGCATTAGCAGGTCAGGTGGGGAAGATGTGTGTCCCAGGCCCTTCCCTGCTGCCCATGATTTTGGACATTGTTCCTTTTTCACTTTTGGGTGAATACCAGCGAGGACTTTATAGCATGTGTTTACTACATGCCAACTATGCACATAGTGCTGTGCCGGATGCTGCTGCAGAGACTAGAAAAATAGCAGCCTCCAGTCTGTGTGCCACATGAGGAATGTTGAAAAAGCACTGCCCATTTCTTACATCTATCCTTTTTAGGACAAGGTGGGGGTATATCTCTTATTTACCTTTGTCATTCTGAATGTGAAGCCACTCCGTGGGTTTCTGGTTGGCTTTATTTGTCCTTGTTTCTATTTCCAGTTTATCATGAATTCAGTGTTTGGTAAGTCTCTATTGTATTTTGTGCATTTATTATTCTTTGCTATGACTATTGTTATTGTTATGCTCTCCTGATACAAAATGTATTTTATAATCATTTTTTTAAATTGCTCTGCTACTTTGGCATCTGCCTTCTGAAAGATAAACTGCTTTTTACCATCTTTATTTAAGGTTTGTTATGCATTCGCACTCTACTGTCCCTTCCAGAGATAGATAAATGCTGAAAGATCTGACAGTTTTAAAAATGTTATTGGTAACAGGTCTAGCTCTGATGCTGTGAGGTGAGATCGTCTGTCTCACAGAATATTCCCATTAGGATGCGGGAGGGTTGCTCTCAGAACTAATATGTGGGTCTGACTTTATGGAACGTTGCTCTGTGAGTTCTTTTCTGGTATGTTTAATCCTTCTGACAGGTTTCATTTTAATGTCTTCCTTAATGGAGGGACCAATGAATGCTCTGCCTCTGGTGACACGCTGTTGCTTTAAAAGTTAGCACGGAAATCCTTCAGAATACGTTTTGCATGGGTGGTCCTTGCATGCCTGTCACATTTATATGGGCCTTGTGTTTGCCACACAGAAGAGCTCTTCATTTGAGACTGCTGCCTGTAACTGTCCAAAAGAATTTAACTTCATATGTATTCTTTTCCTTGTAGGATCAGCACTAGTCATTCCAATCCCTAAACAGATCTAACCATGTGACCTTTCTCTCCTGTCACCTTTTCCTGAAAAGGAAATACATTTTTTTTTTGATAGAGTCTCCCTAGTCCCAGCCT